GAAGCAAGCTGGCATTAAACCCTGGGTTATCTCCCCCATTCAAAAAGTCATTCGTATTGTAATATTTGAGCAGCCATTAAAATGCTGTCCCTCTGGCACTGATCATCCAATTGTCGTTCTGGAAATAATAGAACCCGAAAAAATTCCATGTTTATTGTTGTTTTGTTTCTGTAAAGTTGTTTTGGTAAGGGCTCATTCATATATTACGTTATCAGCCGAGGGGGGAGGGGGTTTGCAAATGATTACGCTAGTGTAATTTCACCACAATAGCCATGTGTAAAACTGATTACGGAGTGGGGTTAAAAATGAGCCAAAAAATGACTATGTAATATGTGAACGACCCCTAAAGCAAGATATTTTTGCAGGCACTTATTTTTAACAATTTTGTAAAAATTAATAATTTTCATTGCATCATAGAACTAAATCTACAATATGATCAAGGGTGTGGAAACACTCTTAATGAAATGCAAGCAATGATACCAGTAGAAAGTAATGTACTTGTGCCTTAAGTAATGTTATTGATCAGGTCATTCAATTAATAGAGCTAATTGATATATTTTTGAGGAGCCATTCGATGGAGTAATGTTGACTTAAGGTCACAAATTTTGACAAATCTATTTTTTTTAAATCTAGACACTTATTTTACTTCGGAGTATTCCAACAGCCATATTGTTACACAAGTGCAACCAGCCAATTACAGGAAGCCGAAGGATTTGTTTTTAGCCAGTGACGGTTAAGGTAGTGTGTACCATACTTTCTTCGCCCGAGACTTTGCTGCAATGTGCAGCTCCTCATTTAACCCTCACACCCGATTTCTCGAGTATTCGGCTGAGTAGACCGGGGGGCTGCATAGACCACTCACGATCCTTAGCTGAATGTCAACGACACTCACCCCACGACCAGGCAGGCAGTGGGATTTGAACCCGCAACCTCACGATTGCAAAGCTGGCTAACCAACTGCGCTACCTGGCCGTAAAATGCATCTTTATAAATCGGGATAATTAATTCCTTGCAAAAATCGATTACACATGATATATCAATTAATTAAATATATATGTATATAATAAATAGTTGTTGCTTGGTTTCCCAAAGAGAGTGCTCGACTGCAGTTAAGCAGGAGCATTATTCGAACAATTGAAACAAATCAAATTGGCGGGCAAACAATTCGTTTCATGATGTGTATAAAACAATAACAATCATCAGTGATTATATATATTACATATCGTATTTTCAAAATCTCGTTTTGACTTCTATTATTTCATAAATCAGTTCAAGTTCAAAATATGGCACTCCAAGCGTTATCTCAAAGTACCTGCCTTGCCTTTCTTAAAGTACAATATACTACATTGTAAAGGGATAATTTCTCATGGGCATGTATCCATTGTAGTCTGAGACGAAACGGAATCTCGTTAGCTTTTCGTGTTAAAAGCGATTTCTCAACGGTTATCACCTCTCTAGATGATTCTTAAAACATTTGGACTTTATTGCATTTTTGAAATAAATGCAATAAGGGCGTTTTCGGTCACACCCTTTTTCAGGGTTTCGCGGTCACTCAAATTTTTGTATTTCAGTCCAGGAAGGTCTTAAAGACTATTCCGATACACCAAAATGTGCCTAATAGCCACATTTATATACAACTTATGAAGCAACACATACCTTAAAATGCTTCGTTTCAGAAATATGGCCGAAAAACGGTTTTTGGCTTGACGCAGTTCATAATTTCCGTGATTTCTGGCATTTCCGCCTAGGAAGGTCGTAGAGACTATTCTGATACACTAAAATGTACATAATGGCCACATTTATATACAACTTATGGAGCAACATATACCCTAAAAGGCTTATTTTCGGAAATGTGGCTGAAAAACGGATTTTTGCCGAGCGAACAATGACAATATTCACAAGTGGGCTATTGGACTGTTAACTAGAACGGTCTTAAAGACTCATGAGCAACATAGCATTTGTCACAAGATGTAAGATGAGTCACTTTGTGTCCAGAAACACCTACAAAAATTGGAGAATGATCTACTTTATTGGGCATCTCTCTTAATGGGCCAGGCCAGCAGCATATTTGTGTCTTACGAAAGGGCGATTTTTCAAAATTACGGTTTCTATATTGAAGGTCAATGAGTCAGTTGCTAACAGTAAATTGTTTGTAATTGCCGACTCATACACATCATGTACTCAAAAACGCTCACTTTAGGAGTGATTAGTAAATAAGTTTAACTACTGCATGATTTGTGAAAACTCCAACAATTTTTTATTGGCACCAATTTAGCCAAAATTTAATAACCAAAATTCAACTTTCTATTTATTCATACCATGAAACTTAACCATGATATGTACTAAGAATACCGGACCTAAAATAATTCGGCACTGTTTCTGGGCCAGATTGTTGCTTGACCACTGACCAGTACTGACCAGTACTTCAGAATGACCCCATATCCTTTTTTTCAGTCGCATAGATTTTTCCATCGTATGATAATGCGTGTCATTGACTGGCTAGTTCTTCTGTTATTACAGCAGTGAGCTGCCTCGATATCTTATCTGGGGCATGGGCACAAGAACTAGAACATTAGAACTGTAATTCTAGAACCTCAGATAAAGGTTACTTGGCAGAATAGCATTAGCAGGGTTCGAGATTTGACTGAGGGCATCCAGGTAACATACCAGGTTCATATCACCAGTTGAGGTGAATCTTAATTTCGGCATGCAATGCCTTATAAGTTATAAGCTTATAGTAGGATTACGGGGTTTATATAATAGAAGGTCTCGAGATGCTGATTTAGCTATTTAGGTTTCACATGTGAAATTTTGTCCAGCTGTGGGTAAACTGTAAAGTGGATTTTAGAGCGGGGAGGGGGTCTTAATGACCAAAATCTGAACGATCTCTTACTTACGGGACACTACGGGACAAGGGACGGATCTCGGGCCTAATAGCCGGAGTCTGCACCTAGATGGTCAACGTGAGGATAGTATGATGATTTAGGATGCTCTGCCTGCCTTTCAAAAGGTCTTGTAACCCCGAAAGCTGGTATATCTTATCTAAATTCACCTTGGTTACATCCCGTGCTGTTTCGAATATATGATTAGATTTATAGGTCCGATATCAAGCAAAAAAGTCTGATCTCCGGTACTGATGTTACATGATCTCCGACGCGAGGATCTCCGAACTCCGATCTTAAAGTTAAATCTCAGAGCCAAAAAGAGGAACCTAAGCCTCGGTTCCTCTCTTTGAGAGTCAAACAGGAAATTCGGTGTTATCAACTCAAAGTCGGATTCGTAGCACAATTGAAAACCAAAGAATAAAAATCTTAATGAATTTCCGGACATCCTAAAATTAATATCAGGTCGTATTCGATTCAGTGGCCCAAACTCCAGTAGGTTACAAGACTTAAGTTCAAGTCGAGGAAAACTTTGATTAAGCATGATCCTTGTCTAGTTGGAATTTTCGCATATCATGCAGTAGTTATCTACTAATCACTCCTAAACTGAGCGTTTTAGAGTCGAATCTCGAACCCTGCCATTCAGTCAAGTAATCTTAATCTGAAGTTCTAGAATTATAGTTCTAATGTTCTAGTACTAATGTATTAGTGCCCTAGATAAGATCTCGAGGCAGCTGTAATAACAAAAGAGCTAGCCAGTAACCACTTGATTAAAAACGAGGAAATGACACACATTATCATACGATGGTAAAATCTATGCGAACCAGACCACTGCGGTATTGCTATTATGGTAAATTAGTTAAATTAACTGCGGCCAACAGATCTCAAACCAGGGATTACAGACCAATATTGGTCGAGACAGCGAAATCAATCATAATTTTAAAGTGGGGTACTGGTCAGCGGTCAAGCAACAATCTGGATCGGATCCAGTGCCGATTTATTTTAGGTCCGGTATAGTATAATTCTAATTGGTACATATATCATGGTTTCATGGCATAAATAAATAAAAAGTTTGAAGTTGAATTTTGGTCTGGCACATATTATATTAGTATATTTAAAAATTAAATTGGTGCCAAGGAAAAATTGTTGGAGTTTTCACAAATCATGTAGTAGTTATTTACTGATGACTCCTAAAGTGAGCGTTTTTGAGTACATGATGTGCATGAGTCGCCAATTGCGACCAATTCGCTGTTAGCTGCCTACCCTTTGACCTTAAGAAACCGTAAGTTTGAAAAATCGCCCTTTCGTAAGACACAAATATGCTGCTGGCCTGGCCCATTAAGAGAGATGCCCAATAAAGTAGATCATTCTCCAATTTTTGTAGGTGTTTCTGGACACAAAGTGACTCATCTTACATCTTGTGACAAATGCTATGTTGCTCATGAGTCTTTAAGACCGTTCTAGTTAACAGTCCAATAGCCCATTTGTGAATATTATTGTCATTGTTTGCTCGGCAAAAATCCGTTTTTCAGCCACATTTCCGAAAATAAGCCTTTTAGGGTATATGTTGCTTCATAAGTTGTAAATAAATGTGGCCATTATGTACATTTTAGTGTATCAGAATAGTCTCTACGACCTTCCTAGGCGGAAATGCCAAAAATCACGGAAATTATGAACTGCGTCAAGCCAAAAACCGTTTTTCGGCCATATTTCCGAAACGAAGCATTTTAAGGTATGTGTTGCTTCATAAGTTGTATATAAATGTGGCTATTAGGCACATTTTGGTGTATCGGAATAGTCTTTAAGACCTTCCTGGACTGAAATACAAAAATTTGAGTGACCGCGAAACCCTGAAAAAGGGTGTGACCGAAAACGCCCTTATTGCATTTATTTCAAAAATGCAATAAAGTCCAAATGTTTTAAGAATCATCTAGAGAGGTGATACCCGTTGAGAAATCGCTTTTAACACGAAAAGCTAACGAGATAGCCTTTTAGAACGGTTGGGATCCGACTATTGGTTAAATTTGGGGACAGTGCAGTGGCTTACCCTGCATGATTTTGTTACTATTAATTTATTTGAAGTACATCTGGACACCAGCAATCTACATGTATTATTAATTTTTTACAGTTCAACCAATGAAAACATGAAGATGGACAAATACGAGAAGCTTGGAAAGATAGGTGAAGGTTCGTATGGTGTTGTATTTAGATGCAAGCACAAAGATACCGGGCAGGTTAGTCGAATATTTCCTACTCTGCTTAAAGAGTAAAAGTTTGGTTTCAATCTAAGATGTTTTGCTTTCTCTTTGTTGAAAATTGCTTGTTAGTAATTATGCTCATTATGTGGTTTCTATCACTACAGGTTGTGGCAATAAAGAAATTCCTTGATTCTGAGGATGATCCTTATGTCAAAAAGATTGCTATGCGTGAAATTAGAATGTTAAAGGTAAATTAGGAATGTATAATCTACATATTATATAATATTTATGTTTAAAAAAATATATTTACGAGCTTCCATTCACGGGATAGCCAGTTACCTGGCAACGCCCGCTCATGATGCTTCTCCAAGCTCACACAAGTGTCAGCAAGGAGGAGGATATTCATGCATTTCTGCACGAGGAGCCCATCACAGCTACCAACAATTGATTTGTTTCCAAGGCCTAGGCCGTGTACCATTTTGTGCTAAGCAACACCATGGTTTGGTGATCGGTCGTTCCTTTTTGGTAATAATATGTTGAGAACTCAAGAACTGTCCCCCTGACAGGGATCGAACTCGCAACCTCTAGGATAGAGGTTGTTATAGATAATGTTTATGTATGAGTATTATACAATACAAAGTTTTGTGTAACGATCTCTTTCTAATAACAATAACATTCTTTCGTACGAAAGTACAAAAAAGTTTTGAATTGGAATTCTGGTTAATAAAGAAATAGTAATGATTGAAACTTTCAGCTGCTGAAGCATGGAAACTTAGTAAATTTACTACAAGTCTTTAGAAGAAAGAAAAAGATTCATCTTGGTAACCATTTTCATTTGTTATGATTTTTGATGATATGCTGCAGCCTAATGTTTTATATTGTCGTCAATTGAACCATGTTCACATTGTTTAGATATAAATAATGTTACTATGTAACTAATGATGATTGTTAATTTTCAGTGTTCGAGTACTGTCATCACACGTTGTTGAATGAGCTAGAAGAATGCCCTAATGGGTAAGTGCAGAGAGCCCCCCCCCCCCCCCCCCCCCCTGCAGAGAGCCCCGCCCCCCTGCCCCCCCCCCCCCCTGCAGAGAAACTACTTCATGTTATAATCGTATTCTCAAGGAGTACAATAAGTTGTAATCTTTGTTTATCCCTGTATAACTGTGCATGTTCCTTGTGGCTCAATATTTAAATTTTGAATAATGACCATGTTGAAGCGATTTACTTTGAAATGGGGAGAATAAATCGGTGAGCACTGAGCATTAAAACGTGATATTTTTAATCTTACCCAAAATTAAAAATATTTAATCTATCGATAATTTACCTATAATTTACCTATAAGTAATACATGTCATTTAAAATACAGTGGTTACTATAGCGATAACAGTATTTATCATATTATTAACGTTATACTGAATCACTAAACTTAGTTCCCTCATCACAAGCCTGTCCATTTCCCTGGCTAAAATTATTAGATAAAAGATCATCATGGTATTTTAAAATTAAAAAATATCATCAAATAACTCCGTTATGGTTTACAAACTTCTTCGTTTAGATTTGGGAAGAAAAGTGTTGGCCAAATTACGTGAAAAGTAATTTCCTAGCGGGCACGTACCTATTATTTATTATATAGGTATATTATATATAGGTGGTTTGTAATGATATAACTGTCTGGAGTATGGAGTTACCATGACAACATACCATTATATACACACGTACAACTAAAAGTGGTCTGTATTGAATTTTAACGCAAAAAGAGATAAGAAGTGGCTCACTGATGCTGGAAAATGTAGTTCCGTATTTTTAGTGTGAGGTGAACTTAAATAAAACTCCGAATTTGTTCAGTGATGAAAAATGTAACCCTATCACACTTGATAACAATCAACATTTATCATCTAAAATCATAATATTTATTGTAAAAGGTAATGTTAGGTCTAGCTGTTACTTCGTCATGTTCCTCTACTTAGAGGGAATTATTAATGCAAATCTACAATTGGTTGGGTACCACATGCTCATAACCAAATCAAACCCTCTTTATTTAGATAATTTCATCTGTAGATTCTTAGGATGCACCCAGGGAGCCTAAATTTCTTAACCTCGATCGTTTTTCTCAGCTAAATTTCAAATTACGAGCCCATTCTGGCAAGATGGCGGTCAGTTTCTGATTCCCATTCACAAAGGGAAGTTTGTGTCACGTGACTTAAACTTGCCATTCACAAAGGGAAGTTTGTGTCACGTGACTTAAACTTGCCAATCACAAAGGGAAGTTTGTGTCACGTGACTTAAACTTGCCAATCACAAAGGGAAGTTTGTGTCACGTGACTTAAACTTGCCATTCACAAAGGGAAGTTTGTGTCACGTGACTTAAACTTGCCAATCAGAGACGCGTTCATTGAACACTTACAATCAAACAAATTGTCCTGAAATGATATTACAGGGAGCATACTTAATTGCAATACATGCACCATGCCATGCTCTAATACGATAACCAAGTGGTGGGAAGCCCTGTCCACCAATCATGCCAGAGAACTACAGTCACGTGGCAGCAGTTACCCAATCATAGCAGAGGGACTACAGTAACCAGCCAATGAGGGAGCAGGAACTAGGTGATTTCCCTAACGACTTACCAGCGGTTCACGGCTCATTGTACAGGCCAGGTTTCTAAACTAGGATAAAACTTTGTCACATACTTATTAGAGAGGGTGCACCCCCCCCCCCCTTTATTAGGTGCACCCCCCCCCCCCTTATTAGGTGCACCCCCCCTTATTAGGTGCACCCCCCCCTTATTAGGTGCACCCCCCCCCTTATTAGGTGCACCGCCCCCCCCCCCCCCCCTTATTAGGTGCAACCCCCCCCCCCCCCCTTATTAGGTACATAGTCAATCATAAGTTCATACAGACGGTAGGTATTGAAATATCACGTCCAAGATTCTTGTAATGGAGTTGTATCTATATTCTTGTAATGGAGTTGTATCTATTGTATCTATATTCTAGAATATTCTATACGTTTTTACTTTTTGATAAAAGACGGGTACAACAGTGACCAATATAATATTTCAAAAACTTGTCAAAACTTGTTAACCTCAATTATTAAAAAAGTTAAGCGGCTACAAGTATGTGAATAGCAGCAATGTTTTTGTCATCAAAAATTAAATTGAGTTAGAAAATAATATTTTGGTCGATTTTTTTGACCCCTTAATTATCCCCTCTGGCCTTAATTATCACGCTCTTCATTTACTAAATAATTTTCGTGAAGGTGTCATTAATACCACAAATATGGTATTAAGTTGCAGACTATGAGTAAAAGAGAGTGGAGGTAAGTTTCGAGTTAAATATGCGAATAAATTATTACGAAAACGATTGTCGAAATTAGTTTCCAATATGTTTCATTGAACGTTACAGACGGCCGATCAACATTAAGTCATGTAAATATAATACTGGAAATAAGTTCATATTAAATCATAACGCCACTGTATAAGTGAATCTGGTGTCACAAAATTATAACAATTTAGTTCTTTTCGTTCCGCATAAAATATTAACTTACCTTAAATGGAATCTAAACTGAATATCAGATAAATATACTAACATGTACCACACAATAAGTACAACATACCAAATACTCACATACTGACCTACTGACATACTGACATACTGACATACTGACATACCGAAATACTCACATACCGAAATACTCACATACCGAAATACTCACATACCGAAATACTCACATACTCACATACTCACATACTCACATACCACACACTCACCTGCACTAGAGGTGACGCTACCAGGCTACTTCAGGTGTGACTTCCCACCTGATTGTGTCTCTCTCAGATATTAGAGAGGACTGTGGAGTGAGGCTGCTATTTATAGTACCAGTACTGCTGGAGAGGGAGATTATCAGAGAAATGTGGGGGAGGGACCACATACTAACATACCACCTTCATTTTATAACGATCAAACCATTATACCATATATGGTAAGAGAGATAATATGATACTGGAAGTTAGGAGGGTGTACTAGGATGGTACGGGGAAGACCAGGGGGACCAGGGGAGAGGGCCAGGGGACTAACTTAGTGTGAGGCTGATACCTATTTGTATTGCTTACTATGCTGATCATGTAAGGCTGATACTTATGTGAAATGGTTGTGGGGGAGGAACTACACTCCACACCATCTTATCTTATGTACTCTTAGTTTGTCAGCTGATCTCCGGCCTCATTCCTATCCTCACTCTGATTGGCGCCCTGAAACCACGTGACTCGCAGATGATTGGTTGCTTAAAGTCACGTGACAGGATACTGGGGTGTGATTGGCTGCACGGTGCGGGGATTATTTGCCTGCTTGTCAGGTTATTATTGCCCATGTCAATGCGATTAAGCAGATTTGTCTTCTCTCTAATACTCTAATCAAAAGTCTGCCAGCTGTCCCGTGTCCTGATTGGTCGAGCTTGTCACGTGCCCAGTAGCCCTGGTCTCTCATTGGCTCATTTTTATCACGTGTTGTCACCCCTGAATTGTCCGTAAAATATATATCATACGTTATCATGCCATAATATATTGTATCAACATTGCCATAGCAACATACAAGTCTCGGAAAAAGTGGGGAGAATTGTACAGTGTGATAACATGTCATGTTATTATATCACCAATCAAGAAATTCTATATTTTCCTGGAATCTGTCTTATAACTGATATCGTATTACAAAAACCGTCCGATTTATGGTGTGATCTATTTGTATCCTAATATTATTATGTATATTTTTCTGTATTCGTCAATTCCCTTAGTGTATTAACAATAAAATCATCACACGGACATTAAAGATCAGAATAAAAAATATAAAAATGTAAAATGCTGTTTGAGAAAAAATAACGTACTCGTTTAAAAAATAAGGGTTTATCTAAACACTGCCTCTGTTTATTAGGACGCCCTTATCTCATTCCATTTATACTATAATTCTTCAGTGAACTTTTAGTTGAAATTGTATGTTTTTTAAAATGAAAAGTGGAAATAATAACACGGTCTGACACATACCGAAAATTTTTCATTTTAAACGGTAGAAAATGGCGAAGATTGCATGTTAAACGATAAGAATTAAGTGCCCATACTTCAGCGGAAGTTACACACTATTTCCAGGGCAGGTATTATTCCCCTTAAGAAGTTCAAATCACAGCATCCTTATTCCCTTCCACAACTTACATCTTCCACAGAACCAGTCATTCTTCACGTACATGTCTGATATTCATGCAGATACTATTTTAAAATATCTTGACACATTGTCTCGAAGTTCAATACAATTACGAAGTAAGAGAGTTAAATTATCTTGTGAAACTTATCTCTCGTCATCTTTTGATCTCTGGATTTCTTGCATGAGAATTTGAAAAGATAAAGGCTTTATTAATGAGAAGATCACTAACTTGCTAATACACCCCTGTAACACACTATATACCATACTGATGTACCTCCTCCATTATCAGCTCTAAACTAAATCATCTCCTTTATAAATACATTTATCATCTCCTTTGTACGCGTTTAAAATCCTCCCCCACAATTGCCACAGTTAAAAGTGGTGTTCCTTGTTGTCTAGCACATTATTAGAGAGTATTACTGCCGCACCCTTCATCCCTCCTTACAACTGCACGTGCAGCAGCATGTAGCAGCATGTATTCTCTTTATACTGTATGACGTCATATCTGACTCTGTATGACGTCACACTTGAGTCTGTATGACGTCATATCTCGCTTGGTCCGCATCGTCACTTTGACGTGTTGAAATTACTACTTAACTACTACTATAATAGTGTAGTGTTGTAGTGTTGTAGTGTTGTAGTGTTGTAGTGTTGTACTATTGTAGTGTTATATTCGGCAAATGCTCCTTCATTAAACTAGTATTTATGAAACCTAAATTTGACACGTGCAGGAGGCGCGCGACTCGCGAGTGTAATATACAGGGTAATATACAGGGTAATATAATACAGGGTAATATACAGGGTAATATTATCACTTGTAGACTACGCCCCCGAGCAATAACATGCTAGGCTTGAATTGTAATTACCGATAATCACCATAGAAACAGCTGTAATTACTATACCGGCTCGTGGGTAATTACCGCTTATAATATTTATTAGTGAACTCCATCCCTGTTATTACTCTGAGTTCTAACTACATTACAGGTATATACTATATACTACTATATTAGAAGGTCACATGGAGCGGGTGTACTGTAGTTAATATAATACTAACTAACACACGTTAATATGTGTGGGTTAGTTAAATACGAACTTACTTTAACGTTATACACAAGTTAAAGGAAGTTAAAGGAAGTTAAAGGAAGTTGAAGGAAGTCAAAGGAATTTTATTCGTATAATCGGTCTAAGAATAGCTCTTACTGCCCTTCAGTGTATTAGTCAGTACAGTTGTACTCTTTAAATCCGAATTTCTCCATCAATGATGCTCCTTAACTGGAACATGTGTACCCTGTATAGTAGTAGTTACTCTGCATGTTTCCTGTACAGTAGTAGTTACTCTGCATGTTTCCTGATTCCTCCTACTCTACTGGAATATTCTGGAACTCAACCATAACCCTCCGTATTAGTGGACCACTGCAAATAAAATAGTAAATATACTATTTATATATATATATATTATACTGTTTATATACTGAATAGTAAACAATGCTTTACTCTTAGATACCAGTATAGAGCTCGCAACTCTGCAGAGAAATGAAGATTTTGAAGAAACAGGATTTCAAACACCTAGCTTTTTGTTAAACCACGTTGCAAAGTTGCACAACTGAACAGGGTCGTGTGGTTGGGGAATGGGGAGCCGGGGGGGGGGGGGGGGGCGGAGGGAGCCGGGGAGTAAGTACTGGCGTCTGGCTAGTGTAATGAGTATTTATAGTTTGTACCTGGTACTGGTAATATGGCGGGCGACACACAACTTCCTTAGATCACTAGCTGCAAATTAATGAAATAGCTTCACCCTGGTTGGTGGATGTGTGTGTTCTGATTGGTCGAAGAAGGAGGAGGGTGAAGTAGTCAGTGAAGTAGTCAGTGAACTATATAGAGAGTTATTACTACTATACAGGGTACACTAGTAATTTGTGCTATTCCTAATATAAACATTTCCGTGGGAATCGCTCAGGAGATACGCCACAAATATTAATATTCATCTTTTTATACGATATTCTGTTCGTTCAATAATAAATTTAATTCCGCGGAATCGGAGAAAAGAAGAAAATTTAGCTTCGGTTAAAAACCACGAACATTATTTAGTTGTCCTGAGAGTTAGAGAGAGAGATAGTATAGAGTATAGAGTATAGAGTATAGAGTATAGAGTATAGAGTATAGAGTGTAGAGTATAGAGTATAGAGTATAGAGTGTAGAGTATAGAGTATAGAGTATAGAGTATAGAGAATAGAGTATAGAGTATAGAGTATAGAGTATAGAGTGTAGAGTGTAGAGTGTAGAGTGTAGAGTGTAGAGTGTAGAGTGTAGAGTGTAGAGTGTAGAGTGTAGAGTGTAGAGTGTAGAGTGTAGAGTGTAGAGTGTAGAGTGTAGAGTGTAGAGTGTAGAGTGTAGAGTGTAGAGTGTAGAGTGTAGAGTGTAGAGTGTAGATTGTAGAGTGTAGAGTGTAGAGTGTAGAGTGTAGAGTGTAGAGTGTAGAGTGTAGAGTGTAGAGTATAGAGTATAGAGTGTAGAGTGTAGAGTGTAGAGTGTAGAGTGTAGAGTGTAGAGTGTAGAGTGTAGAGTGTAGAGTGTAGAGTATAGAGTATAGAGTATAGAGTATAGAGTATAGAGTATAGAGTATAGAGAGAGATGTAACTTAACACGTGACACTATTTCTGTTGGATATTAGCAGCAATTCACATAATCACACATTGTAACCTTGATAATCTAATGTCAGATTATATCACATATCTATTAAAAATAAAGGGGGGGGGGGGGGGGGTCATGATTGAGGGACGAAAATAGTCAAATAGGAGAGTTATCTAGCTACCTCCCCCGTGAACTGTATACATGCTTGCTATCTAATATCTAATATCTAATATATCTATCTAATATACGTAATTGGTTCTGTCAAACTGTTTGAATTGTGGAAGCAAGCATCAAACGTCCTTTCCATCAGATGCTTTGTTAAAATGTGGACAATTTGGTGTTAAAATGTGGACAATTTGGTGTTAAAATGAACAATTTGGTGTTAAAATGAACAATTTGGTGTTAAAATGAACAATTTGGTGTTAAAATGGACAATTTGGTGTTAAAATGAACAATTTGGTGTTAAAATGAACAATTTGGTGTTAAAATGAACAATTTGGTGTTAAAATGAACAATTTGGTGTTAAAATGAACAATTTGGTGTTAAAATGAACAATTTGGTGTTAAAATGAACAATTTGGTGTTAAAATGAACAATTTGGTGTTAAAATGAACAATCTTGGTGTTAAAATGAACAATCTTGGTGTTAAAATGAACAATCTTAGTGTTAAAATGAACAATTTGGTGTTAAAATGAACGAGTTTGTGTTAAAATGAACAATCTTGGTGTTAAAATAACATTGAATGTAAATGATAAGGATGGCTGAGAGAAGCTCTGAAATTCTAACTTATATATAATGTATATTTAATTAGTCTTAGTGTAATTGAGACAGTATCATAATTATAATGATAATATAATATTTATAATTAGAAATACACATAAATTATTCGGAGTAATGTCAATTGCTTTGGTCTTGTTTCAAAGCAACATTCATTACATATTCTCCTCTCTATACTCCAGGATGGAAAAGATTAAACTAATATCTCTTCATAATTTTACTTTGGGTTAGAAGATAACATTGCAGCAGTGGTTTTTCAAATCCTACGTATCTGAAGCTGCACTCTAACACTCTACTTTTAGTAGTTCGCTAGTTTACATAATAATAATTGATATATTATACATATTAGCTATACGTATAAATACGTATAAATTATAATAATAAGATAATACCATTTGGAGACATAACGTCACTACACTGGAGAAAATAGAAGATCTTACACCGATTAAACGATCTGGAAGCTGAATTATTATTGAGATATATAAATGTATATATGTATATTTTGAACAGATTTAAAGACGCATTAGTTAAACTAGCAGGAACCCGTATAACCCTAAAATGGTGTCAATCATGCTGATTTGGAGGCCATTGAAGCATTTGACCCAGTCAACAAAGTTTCAGTTGTATATCTTTTACGGTTTTTGCGGAAAGTCGCGTTAAAGTTGATACCGTGGTGTCTGTAAAATGGTACGGATAAACACATATATACATACATATATATCGTTTCGCTTTATATATAGTAAGAAGTAAGATTAGTTACTGAAATCCAGCAATGATATCTGGAGCATTACTCACCTTTAGAAGAATTAAAGTGAAACGTCTGAATTGATAATATATATAAAGTTGGTAGATATGTATGGTCAATATATTATTATAATTAATAATTAATTATTATAATTAATAATTAATTAATTAATAATTAATTAATTAATAAATGGTGGAAGTTATACGTTATCCCCTACATTACCTTGTTCTATGAAAAGATAAATGTTATAGTGTTAATATTGTAATGTTATATGTAGTGTTAACTGTAGAGTTAATCTTTACAACTTGCTATTACTTTATATTACTTGCCATTATATTATATAATTGTATATTACTTGCTATTATACATAGATTATTAAAATAACTGTGTAACAATGGCAACTCTGAGTATTGAACTTATACTTTACATCCCTGTGTATATATTTTTCATACTTTACATCCCTGTGTATATATTGTTTATACTTTGTATCACAATATGGCAGTTTGCATAATAGAAATAACCCTGTTCACCTAATCCCTGTGTAGTGTTCACCTAATCCCTGTGTAGTCCATTACAAATAACCTAATTTGGGCCTTATATAAACGTACTGTGTCGTAGTGTTATGGAATACAGCTAAACTTCTGCTCAAATCACCACCAAATACGATATCAGCTATAATAAATCAAACTTCTTGAAAAAAATGAGCTAATGAAATAAATATTTGGGGGAATAAAGGGGTTTGACTGTATAAAAATAATTACTGAAAGTGTAAATGCTGGGTGTAAATGCTGGGTATAGTAGTATTAGCAGTATTATTTCAGGCTGGAAGAATTACAAATCAAGAAGATTATGTGGCAGGTCCTACAAGCAGTTAACTTCTGTCATGGACACAATGTGAGTAGAATAGTAGATTAAGTAATAGATAATAGATTAATTACTTAAATTAATCAGTAAGTTATTTGAACTGTTGCGATTAATACGAAATACCGCGCTAAAATCTCATGTTTTGGGTAAAGATTGATTACTGAGGTTAATCGAGTCATGTATAACAGAATTATAGAACATTTAGTATTAAACTGAGAATCAAGTAGGCGTGATAAATACTCTTTCTCCTGGACTAAGGAACTGTTTTCTCGCAACAGGATTGAATATAATATAAAATATAACAGGATTGAATATAATATAATGGTTTTTAGCACATCAGTTTGTTGGCCCAAGTCCAAACTAAAAATGATCCAAGACCCTCTACAAATACACTCAGTTTGTTTTATAACGCATTTTACGCAGTTAGATTAGCGTATATGATATAAAGACAACCTATTGTATGGTTTTTACTATAAAGTTGTTTTATTTGTGCCATTTCCAAATTTGTAACTAAATTGTTAATAAGTATTATATAAGGATTATTAATTACTAATAACTCTATTCCAACTACAGAACCAATCTTCCAAACTTGCGTTTACATAAACTTTACTGTGTATACCTTTATTGTTGACGTTGTATTTGGTGTATAGTGCACAGTAGCAGTGCATAATGTGTACTACATTATTCCTAATTTATGTCAAGTAGTCAACATTTCGTGTACTACATTATTCCTAATTTATGTCAAGTAGTCAACATTTCGTGTACTACATTATTCCTAATTTATGTCAAGTAGTCAACATTTCGTGTACTACATTATTCCTAATTTATGTCAAGTAGTCAACATTTCGTGTACTACATTATTCCTAATTTATGTCAAGTTGTCAACATTTCGTGTACTACATTATTCCTAATTTATGTCAAGTTGTCAACATTTCGTGTACTACATTATTCCTAATTTATGTCAAGTAGTCAACATTTCGTGTACTACATTATTCCTAATTTATGTCAAGTAGTCAACATTTCGTTTACTACATTATTCCTAATTTATGTCAAGTAGTCAACATTTCGTGTACTACATTATTCCTAATTTATGTCAAGTAGTCAACATTTCGTGTACTACATTATTCCTAATTTATGTCAAGTAGTCAACATTTCGTGTACTACATTATTCCTAATTTATGTCAAGTAGTCAACATTTCGTGTACTACATTATTCCTAATTTATGTCAAGTTGTCAACATTTCGTGTACTACATTATTCCTAATTTATGTCAAGTTGTCAACATTTCGTGTACTACATTATTCCTAATTTATGTCAAGTAGTCAACATTTCGTGTACTACATTATTCCTAATTTATGTCAAGTAGTCAACATTTCGTTTACTACATTATTCCTAATTTATGTCAAGTAGTCAACATTTCGTGTACTACATTATTCCTAATTTATGTCAAGTAGTCAACATTTCGTGTACTACATTATTCCTAATTTATGTCAAGTAGTCAACATTTCGTGTACTACATTATTCCTAATTTATGTCAAGTAATCAAAATTTCGTGTACTACATTATTCCTAATTTATGTCAAGTAGTCAACATTTCGTGTACTACATTATTCCTAATTTATGTCAAGTAGTCAACATTTCGTTTACTACATTATTCCTAATTTATGTCAAGTAGTCAACATTTCGTGTACTACATTATTCCTAATTTATGTCACTAGTAGTCAACATTTCGTGTACTACATTATTCCTAATTTATGTCAAGTAGTCAACATTTCGTGTACTACATTATTCCTAATTTATGTCAAGTAGTCAACATTTCGTGTACTACATTATTCCTAATTTATGTCAAGTAGTCAACATTTCGTTTACTACATTATTCCTAATTTATGTCAAGTAGTCAACATTTCGTGTACTACATTATTCCTAATTTATGTCAAGTAGTCAACATTTCGTGTACTACATTATTCCTAATTTATGTCACTAGTAGTCAACATTTCGTGTACTACATTATTCCTAATTTATGTCACTAGTAGTCAACATTTCGTGTACTACATTATTCCTAATTTATGTCAAGTAGTCAACATTTCGTGTACTACATTATTCCTAATTTATGTCAAGTAGTCAACATTTCGTGTACTACATTATTCCTAATTTATGTCACTAGTAGTCAACATTTCGTGTACTACATTATTCCTAATTTATGTCAAGTAGTCAACATTACAAAACATTTCGTTTACAAATCAGTAGTCATGGAAAACAACACTCTAAATATTTGATAAGCAGACTCCAGCGGAATAATAATAAACGTGTTACGCGACACAGAGCACGTGACCAGCACGTGACCAGCACGTGACCAGCTCGTGATCTGCACATAATAATATGTAGACATTATGAGGGATATATATTACTATCCAGTTTTAACTACACAAGTATCGTTGACTAATCCTGATTTTAAGTTCTGTCAGGATAAAATCCAGTACATATAACGAAGTGTCCGTCCAATATACACATTGCAAACTCTTAATCAACAATAATATTCCAAAAAGTAAGTTTACCAGCGCTAACCTGTAAACAGTTAAAGTATTTAAAATAGTGTTTGTTGGCTGTGAGCCAGCCACTCTGTCTGTAACACAAATCACCTGACCTCAGAGTGTAATATGCTTGTGAGACTATCAGACTCTAGTAGTGCACAGTGGGGCTCCTGTGTAGTGCACAGTGGGGCCCTGTGTAGTGCACAGTGGGGCCCTATGTAGTGTGTAGTGCACAGTGGGCCCCTGTGTAGTGCACAGTGGGGCCCTGTGTAGTGCACAGTGGGGCCCTATGTAGTGTGTAGTGCACAGTGGGGCCCTGTGTAGTGCACAGTGGGGCCCTGTGTAGTGTGTAGTGGGGCCCTGTGTAGTGCACAGTGGGGTCCTATGTAGTGCACAGTGGGGCCCTGTGTAGTGCACAGTGGGGCCCTGTGTAGTGTGTAGTGGGGCCCCTGTGTAGTGCACAGTGGGCCCCTGTGTAGTGCACAGTGGGGCCCTGTGTAGTGCACAGTGGGGCCCTGTGTAGTGCACAGTGGGGCCCTGTGTAGTGCACAGTGGGGCCCCTGTGTAGTGTGTAGTGGGGCCCTGTGTAGTGCACAGTGGGGCCCTGTGTAATGCACAGTGGGGCCCCTGTGTAGTGCACAGTGGGGCCCTGTGTAGTGCACAGTGGGGTCCAGTGTAGTGCACAGTGGGCCCCCTCTGTAGTGTGCAGTGCACAGTGGGGCCCTGTGTAATGCACAGCAGGGCTCCTGTGTAGTGCACAGTGGGGCCCCTGTGTAGTGCACAGCGGGGCCCTGTGTAGTGTGTAGTGGGGCCCTGTGTAGTGCACAGTGGGGCCCTATGTAGTGTGCAGTGCACAGTGGGGCCCTGTGTAATGCACAGCAGGGCTCCTGTGTAGTGCACAGTGGGGCCCCTGTGTAGTGCACAGTGGGGCCCTGTGTATTGTAGCTAATTATAATTACTTTTACAAAATGATAATGTAATTATATTTCTCAGTATCAGAAAGCACTAACTATAAATTTGGCAGATGTTACTAATAATATTTAGGGTTCTCCAAGCATAAATAAAATGCATTTTCCTGAATGTTCAAATCTGTCATGATGATCGATGAAGAATTATTTGATTTGTCTGTATTATTAAGATTACATTAATGTAACTACTGTAAATAAAATCTTGTAATCTTTATCTTCGTATACTGTACAATGTATACTGTACAATGTATACTGTACAATGTACTGTACAATGTATACTGTACAATGTTGCAGCCAAAGCAAACTACTTTGCAACCTGTATAGTTAAATAGTAGCTAATTGTGCGTTTATTAGTAAAATGTCTAAGTTACAATAATTGTAAGTAAGATATGTAATTGTGTAAAATGGTGTCAAGACTCAAAAGACTGAAATAATTATTACCTATTTAAATCGCGTTTTTGACACTACTTGGGGATCCAAATTTTGGGCACTAAAATTCTTATTTCATGGCCAATTTTTTCCCGATCCATGACTCAAAGTGCCGAAGGCACAAAAGAGTCAAGGACAAGGGTTAGCGAACGAGGTTTTTTTTGTATATATGGTAGCTTCAAGCTACCATAGCTTGCGAGTGAGCGTGCGAGCGTGCGTGCGTAAGTGCCCTCGCCCCCAGTCTAGTTATCGCCCACGTGTCTGCCTGCGCAAAGTTATTTTGCGCGATAATCTGAACTCAACAATTGTTGGCGCGCGTTGCTGAACTGTTCAAGTACATTGTTAATATCACCATGTGCGCATCCCGCTAGGGACAAATTGATAGCATATTATTATTATTTTGAGTTAGTATTACTATTTTGCACAGATCCGTGTCAGGTTGCATAAATAATAAACATATAAAAAATGTTTAGAAATATACACGATTTTCAAATTCAATATGGAATTATATTAACTGGGCGGCGCTCGGCCTGTCACTCCGCCATATCTGCATGCTTATAAACAGTAAAGACTGGGGTCCCCAGGTGGTATGGAATATGATAAAATACGCCATCACGGATCGGGAAATTGAGCGGCCATCCACAAAAGAATAGCGGCCGCATTTCTTGTTTATTTTCATGCTGCTTTGAAGGCCATTAAGACATTTGACCAAGTCAAAAACGTTTCAGTTTTATATACATATTTTACGGTTTTTGCAAAAAGTCGTGTTAAAGTTGCCAGTAAAATGGCACGGATCCATCCATATATATCGTCTCGCTTTATATATGATAAGATATTATATGGAATAGAACTCAGAATAGGCTGCAATAGTTATAAAAAAGTAGAATTTATTCCGTATTACTCATTTCTACACATGATGAATTAAAAATCTATGTTTGAGCACGTGCTATTACTCGTGAACTGTCAATGTGTCATGTATAATAACACGAGTATGACATTGTCACGAGTATGACATTGTCACGAGTATGACATTGTCACGAGTATGACATTGTCACGAGTATGACATTGTCACGAGTATGACATTGTCACGAGTATGACATTGTC